ACCCCCAAGGCTGCACACCAGACCTGCACAGTAAGCAAAATAATTAAGCCCATGGACTCTAATCTTCGACAACATGAAAGCAATTAAACACACTTTGGAGCAATGAAAGGTGAAAACTGGCCAGATTCACAAACTTGCTAGTCACCAGCATTTCCATTCATTTCTCTGGTGCAAAGTCAGCTGTCCACTTCTGTAACCTCATCACCTCCCATGCCTCTTTAAGTCCTTCAGAAATAAATGCTTAAGAGTTTTTGACGCATGAGGTCTTTACAGGATAGGTAATGTCTTCTTACTTGACATGCTTATTTCTTGAAACATCACCTACACTCAGATTCAAACTCCAGAGTACTCAATCTTTGACTCTTAAAATTGCCCTTTTCTTTAAGCGTAGATAATTGTATCTGAAGGATAAGCAGGCACTGCTGTTCACATCTACTGCTTTTTTAAGAGTGGAGGTTCACCTCCTGTTTGCTTCTGCTTGCTTGTTTTAAGTATTAACGACCCGTGCTTCCTTTCTGGGAGACTATAGATTCTGCCATCTGCGATGAGGTTTCCTTCCTCTTCTATAAATCATTAAGAGACAACACTAGACCATGCTAGCTCTTGGTATTTTGGCTTTTTTTTTGGCTGGTTGGACAAAACTGAAAAAAGCAAAACAGGAAAAAGCTAAAATAGGGGTCCTCAATGACCCCTTCAACCCCCACACTTCTATGAGAGACTTGCTCAACCCTGGGATGTGAGAAGACTAAGAAACCATGGAAATTGGGATTCAGGGAATTAGGTACAGGATACAAGGTTGCGAAGAACAGGATCTCTGGTCTGTGTTCACTGCTGGATCCCCCATCTCTAGAATGATGCTGCATCTACACTGCTGAACGAATGGAAAGAAGCTACAGGGTAAACACAGGTGCCTGGGAAAGGCCTGGAAAGGTTCTTACAGTGCTGAGTTTTGGAGCTGTGGGATAAGATTCATTGGTGAGTCATGAAATCAATTTAGTCTGATTAGTGTTGTTTTGAAAGAATGGAAGAGAATAGTAAATACCTTAGTAAGGAAAAAACTAATTTTGTGCAATTTCAGTTTAAGATATACACCCAAGATTGCAATGGAAAATATGTTATTGGTTATTAAAAAAAAAAGAGGAAAAGCATTTGCCTGGACATATTGAAAAAGCAGATTCCCAGACTCCAGGCAGGACTTCTGGGATGAGAATCTCTGGAATTTTGCACTTTGAACATGTTCCCTTGGGGATATCAGCAGACTCTAAACTTTGGAGTCTCCACTCTGAAAACCACTGTGGGGCCTGGAATTTCAAGCAGTTTAACAGCCATGGGACAGCTGATCAACAAATTAGTTTGACAGCATTACCACAGCTATCTTCTGTTTGGGAGGTTGGGGTGGGGGTTGTGGGTGGGCAGGAGAAGACACGGGACCAGGGCAGGCATTTAACAACCATGAATAAAGCACAGTTGTTCTCTTTCTGTTCATTACTGATCTCATCACCAGGCCATTTCCTCCCTCCACACACTCACCCCAAGGGCCACTCAGACCTGTCCTGGTACCGGCTGGCCACAAAGTTTCCATCTTCCAAGCTGAACAGATGAAGAGGATTTAGTCACCAGATGTGAGCCTGGCTTGGGGCCGGCAGAAAAGAGACTGTCAAGTGAAGAACCAAGAAAAACTCACACAGCCCAGGGCCATTGTCATCAGATCGCTATGGAAAGCAGGTGTGGTCCGTTCCAGCCTAATCCGGCAGAGCTCTCAGCCACCTGTCCTGACAACTGCAGACAAAACTCGCTACAATGATGATCCAACGCCACCAGAGGCCCAGGCTCCTGATGGCCCACTGGGAATGCTCTATACCAGCTGTTCCTCACCCTGAAACCCCCCTCCCCCCCATACCAATCACTATAGTGCGTAATTCTACGCACCCGCAAAGCATACCAGCGGTTTCCCTCCCTGCCTCTCTCTGAGGTCACAACAACAGAAAAGTCGAGATTTTTTTTTTTTCTCTCACTTCCGATAAATACATCTGAAGTCAATTTTAACAATCTAGACGCAGTGACTGAATCGTTTCCAGGTCCTTCTCTCTCTTCCAGAGCCTCTGCTTTGCTGAAGGGCAGGAAGAAGCGTGCCCACATGCAGTGAGGATCACCATGAGAAGCTTCGGGTCATTTTGGTGCAAGGGGCTCCCTCCCTCTGGCCTCCTACAGCACTTGCTGCCTGAGCCACTCAGCGAGTGTGTGAGCTGGCATCTTTTGCTGTGAGCTTCTCTTACCGTGTATCCTCTTCTCTCAACTTGAATCACAATTTCCTAGAAGACAGAAGCATGCCTGAATCTTCCACCTTGTTTCCTTATTGCCTTGCTTTAAAAATGTCATTTGTATTTCCGTCTGTGTGTGTGAATGTGGAAGGACATATAGGACATACAGCAATCACACGCCATGTCAGATGCTATCAGCACTGGACAAAGTTGTCAAAAGCCGCTCATCTTAGCAGGAAGCGTCTGTCTTTCACCACATTTGGTTAGTCAAGCACCAAATTGCTCCTGCTGCATTCCTGACACTAAAAATAGCAGGGACATTCAATTTTGAAGAAAAAAGATCTACACGAACAGGGCCAGACTAACAGGATTAAGGACAAAAGATAAACTTAAGTAGCCTCTCAGCCAGGTATCTTTTGTCCACCAAATTAACCGAGTGTACTTACTGTTATATGCAGGGAGCATGCTAGCAGTTTCATGTGTACTCTTTCATTTAATCTTACAGTAACCCATGATGCCGGCATTACTATCCCATTGCACAAAGAAACTAAGGAACAGAGGGCTCAAATAGCTTCCCAAGGTTGGTAAACAGCAGGATTTGGATTCAAACCCATATCTGTCTACTTCACCACAATCCTTACTGCCTTTCTGATTAATCCAATACCTAATACAGATCCTCAGACCATAATTTGAAAGTTCTTTTTTCTAAAGAAAGGGTCAAAAGCCAAAAAATCCCCCCCCCCCTTTTTTTTCCCTGTTTAAGCAAGCAAGTGATCAACCAACCTTTCTCACAGAAAGCTAGATGGGGGAATTCAGGAACATACTTAATTTACCCTGGCTCTGCAAGACTTCATCTTTATTTCTCGACTGTCTCTTCTCCATCATGAGCAATTTCAATTTAGACTATGATCACTTGTACAATTTCAAAACCTTTCTCTGTCCACTCTAATGTCAAAATCTATCCAGAAGCAGCTTAGCACCACTCCCACACCTCTCAACAAGTCTCTAAGCTTTTATCCTCAAGCCCTCAAAGTTTAGTCTCAAGACAGCAGTGTGTCCTTTTCAAAGGTTACACAGCAACTCTGCTCAACTGTACCTCTAGCCCAGTTCTCACTATTCTCCCCTCTGTTCTTCTACTCTTGGAATACGGCTTCCTTGCTGTTCCTTGAACAAACACATTTCCCTGCCCAGGGCCTTTGCACTAGCTGCTCCTTCTGCTTGGGGCTCTTTTCTCCAAGATATTTGCATGGCATATTTCTTCATCTCGTTTATGCCTTTGCTTAAAGCTCACTGTCCAAGTGAGGCTTCTCTTCAATACCCTGCAAACCAGCTTTCCCTCCCAGGACCTCCTGTCCCTCTTGGTTTGTTCTGTTTTTTTTTTAGCCATAGCACTTATTCTAACATGCTACACACCAGATTTGTGCATATGGCATCCTCTTTCTAGAAGAGAAGCTCCATGAGGGTAGAAATGTTTTTGTTTTGCTCACTGCTGTATTCCCAGTACTTAGAACAATGCCTAGCATACACAATGTGCTCAGCAAATATTTGCTGAATTAATGTTTTACATGGCTTGCCAGTAAGAAAAACTGATAACCCCAGGTCAACACACAATGTTTACCCTATGGTTCTGAGTATTCCTGGAGCTCTGATCTACTGTGGGAGGCAGTTATACATCAGCTTGAGAAGCCTGGAAACAGAGAACTATTTAGAGGGGAATGACGTAGTGGAGTTCTACATTTCAATCAGCCCACTCTAGCTCTGGGGGATGGATCTGGGGAGGATAAGGCTCCAAATTATGAGTCCATTCCTAAATATGAGAAATATTTAGGAGACAAGAGGGAAAGAATCAATGATTGGTTGGATATTGGGGGGGATGGTGGGATTCTGACTGACCTTTAGGTTATGAGGTTGGGGAAACTGAACAGATAACACAGTGAGTGATGGAGACAGCATAAAGAAGAATTCCTCTTGGGAATGGATCTGGAACGATAATACTCTTCCCCTTAGCTCAACATTCACTTCAGCAGTCCCTTGACAAATAACTAAAGTGATTATGGTAAAAGGCTCAACCGCAGCTACAGAGCAGCCAAATATAAACAAAAAGAATTCTATGGATCATTGCTTTGTTTCCATTTGTCAGAGGTTTTGAGCTGGCCTTTAACCAGGCAGAGTCCCTCCTAAAGAAAAAGGAAGGAATGTCTTTTCACGGGTTACAAGTCGGTTCTGTCTCTGAAGACACACACATACCACCATTTCTGTAGGCACAACCAGTTGTCTGGTTTCTTTGGAAAATAACTTAAGAATTGGGCAATTCTAAAAGGACCCTATTTGGGCTTCCCTGGTGGCTCAGAGGTAAAGAATCTGCCTGCCAATGTAGCAGTCACCGGTTTGATCCCTGATCTGGGAAGAGATCCCGCATGCAGCAGAGCAACTGAGCCCCCAGCACCACAGTAATTTAGGCTGTGTTCTAGAGCCTGGAACCCACAACTGCTGAGTCCACGTGCCCCAGCTACCGAAGCCCCTGAGTCCTAGAGCCCATGCTCCCCCAGTGAGAAGTCACTGCAAATGGAGAAAAGCCCGGGCAACAATGAAGACCCAGCACGGACAAAAATAAATAAATAAATTTAAATAACAATTTTTTTAAAAGGGCCCCATGCTAAAGACCCCTAAACAAAGGTTTACCGACAAAACAGTTTAATCCACCACTGACTGGGCTTGTATTTTACCCTCATACCTTACCTGGAAAGTTCTCTCGGTTTAGCTTAGGTCTGCGGACAATCACAAAGTCCTTGTCATTCCCTTTGCTTTTCAGCCGTTTTCGTGGGGGGCTCTGTGGGTGGCCCAGGTTTGAAAGCAGTTCCTGGGGGATGTTCTCACTGTCCACCTCCTCCTTCTCCAGGGCGGAGACCCCCATGCCTGAAAGTAGTTCAGAAGTCTTGCTAGAATCCCATCCCCACGTGAAACTGGTGGTAACGTTGCTAGTCTGGTCGGGTATCTCCTGGAGGTGTTTCCTGCAGAAACGCACAATAGCCCCACGTTCTTTTCAAAAACACGCCCGTAAGTAATTCCCAGACAGGCCTAAAGGAAGCTGCAAGCTATGCACCGCAGAAAGCTTTCACAGCAGCTAACTGAACTGCATTTTTACGTGCCGGCGGCGAGTTCCCAAGAATAAAAGAGAAAATAACCGAAAACATCGAAAAGGCTTTTCGATTTCCGATCATGCAGAAGGCCTCAAGAATTTCTTAAAAGTGGAGGAAACATACAAGGAAAGAGGCAGGGCAATCACACACGATTGAAAACAGCAGCAGGAAAGCCCAATAAGGGAAGACAAATAACATCCACGCTGATCACCGCACTAAAGCATCCACCCATCCACGTTTTCCCAAAGAGGCTAAGCAACCATTCACATTACAGCACTACTAACAATATTAGCAAGTAGCAAAACACGAGGCCTAAAAGAATTAAGACGGTCCATTCATGTTCTGTCTCCTTCTGCAATCGGTTTACCTGTGCATGGCGTCCGCAGGTTCGGGAGTTTTAAATGCGTGCATCAATTGCAGAGGTGCCCGCCTCCCAGATTCCCGCTTTGGCGCGCGGCGGCGCACTGCGTGCGGCCCCCGGCTCGCTGCAGCGAAACCCGCGAACTCTATCAACGTTCCATCCCAGCAGCGCGCGCAGAATTCTCCAGCCAGCTGGCTCTCCTCCGCAGCCGTCGTCCGCGGCCCCGCTGCCTGCTGGGAATTGTAGTTTCTGCCCAACCTGGTAGTCCGGCTGCCTCGCCACTACTTCCTTTCCTTGCAGCTTTGCCGCTTTCGAGATACCCACAACCCCGCGCGGCTGCGGGACCGGACGACCCACAGGGTAGGCGGGGAAGAGGAAGCGGGCGGTGCTTCGGCTGACTGGGGAAATGTCAGCTGCTTGACTGGGGTCGGGGTTTCCTTTCTCGGGGACCCCCCGACCTTTTGGTGACTGCCACCGCTGTCGCCAAGGAGTGTGGGTCCCAAACCCTGTAAGGCTGTGGCGGCCGCGGCATTTCCAGGCCCTTCTGGACGCTGTCCGGCGAGATCGGACGGTGAGCCCGAGGAGGAGAGCGTGAGGCACTTTGAGGTGTGGGGCCGAACGCGGACTGAGAAAGGGCCCCGGAGACTCCGAGAGGCCGCCGTCTCGGGGCCTACGTCCCAGGCAGCTGAGTGGAGGCAGGGGCACGCCCTGCCGGCCAGGTGAGAGGCTGCGGCCGTGGGCGTCACGCCTGCTCCCCTCTGCCTGGAGCTGCGTACTCCACCCGGGTGAGGGCGGCCCTGAGGACTAGGTCTGTGGACAGGATCCTTTCCTTCCGTGTAAAACAGGCACCACGGCAACGACGCTCGTTTCACAGTCGCGATCAAATCAGAGGAGGCTCGTGAGAGCGTCTGTAAGCGAAAGCGCGGTTCAAACGTGAGGCGGAGGTTTAATTTCAAGGGGAGCAGGAGATTACGGTGAGTGCCGTGGGAAAGCTGAGCATCCCCCGGCAGCCTTGAGAAATCCCATAAATGCTAGCATGAGAGCAAATAAGGTGACTATTGTTTGCAAAAGCTTTTCGTGCCACGCTAGCGGCCACCAGCAGCGCCATTCGCTTACTGTCTCAAAAAAAATTGTTTGCCTCACGTCCTAAAAGCCAGCTGCTTGCTTTTAGACTATATCCACGGAGAAAAGTTTGGAGATGGTTAGAGAGTGCCGTTTTCTGGGTAGGATGACCGTGCGAAATCCATTGTGCGAATGTCCTGTAACTGTGAACCTGGGAAAACAGTGGAAGAGAGAAGGGGAATAACTTCCAACCCTAATAAAAATGGAGAGGATTTATAAAGTTCAGAAATAAGCACCCGGCGTCATCACAAAAATACTAGAATGTCACTTAAGCATGCTGTGTGGCATACCTTCTTATTTCTTCTCTTTAAAAAAAAAAATTGAATTTACTCTGGAGTTAAACCTCCCTTGCTTGTATATCAGCTTGTTTCAGGCTTGGTGCATAGCTTGAAATGGAACCACCTCTTGACAGAGGAGGGCGTTCGTGATCCTTTAGTAGTTTATTTTTGAAACTAGGTAAAACTGGTGTAAAGAATGGATCTGTTCACTGATTGATTCTAGTTGAAACTAGATGAAGAATACTAAGCTGAATGTTCACAATTCGTCAAGCTAATGTTACATGGAAAATATTTTTAAATGTAGTGTTCTGACTTTTTTTTTACATGAAGTTATCTTTATGATATTTTGGCTAAGGTGAAAGCAGTAGCCTTCTGCTTGAAGTCTACATCCTTTCTCCTAAAATAGCAGTTCAGAGGAAATATTCAGTCTTCTTCAGGAAAGTGAACAAGACAGAGGGAGCTTATAAACTAATGGAGGAGAAGGAATAACAAAATTTTTAATGCCATGATGAGAGGAAAGTTTTGAAATATAATATAATTGGAAGAGGGCACTTCAGACAGAGGTCTTATAAAGTGTTAGTCATTCAGTCCGGTCTGACTCTGCGACCCCATGGACGGTAGCCCTACAGACTCCTCTGTCCATGGGGATTCTCCAGGCAAGAATACTGGAATGGGTAGCCATTTCCTTCTCCAGGGGATCATCCCGATCCAGGGATCGAACCCGGGTCTCCTGCACTGCAGGCGGATTCTTACTGTCTGAGCCGTCAGGGGAGCCCAATAATTGGAAGAGGGCACATAGAGCTCTTATAAGGAAGGTCTAATAGGATGACTCTGACTTAAAAATGAGAAATGTCCCTGTGCTCGGATTTAGCCTGAGAGCTAGGAAACGTTTCTAGTTTTCAGAATATTTGAAATATCTGAATTAGTGGAAACAAGGTCCTTTGTAGGGCTTCAGAGAGAGCCTGTCAACTTGGAAAATCAAAGTGTTCAAATTCTAGAATAGATATTGCTCTAATAGTTTGCCCTGGCAGCAGAAATATTTTAGCTTATGAAAATGGAATCATTTCTGCATTCCTTTAATCATGGCTTTTCTCTTAATATATTAAGTAAAAGTTTCACTTGGTAAGTTGGCTCTTTAATATAAGGAATTGTGTCCATTGAAGGCTTGAGATTATTAGCTACATAGAGTTTCCTGTCTGGTCTTTCCAAGAACTGCATTGTGATTTCTACTGATGTAGATTATTTTGTTCTCCTGATTAAGTTTATTTATTTAATACACTCAGCACACCCCAAGTCTCATTTTAGTGAGAGAGGGTTCCCTATTTCTAGAATTACTAGATCAGTATCTAGGACAAATCAATTACATTTTAAAAATATCTGCAAATGTCATTAGAGTGAGTAATTTCTAATACTCTTTGGAAGTTTTAGGTAGAGTACCAAGTGACTTTGTAAATTGGAAAGGTGTCTCTCATACATGGGACAAGAGCATAGTTACAAGATGGTCAATATTAGGGCATAGAACTAGCTTATGTGTACATATTTATATATACATATATATTCAGTATTCAGTAGTATATTATTGGGGCTTTCCTGGTGGCTCAGATGGTAAAGAATCTGCCTGCAATGTGGGAGACCTGGGTTTGGTTCCTGGGTAGAGGAGATCCCCTGGAGGAGGGCATGGCAACCCACTCCAGTATTCTTGCCTGGAGAATCCCCATGGACAGAGGAGCCTGTTGGGCTACAGTCCACTGGGTCGAAAAGAGTCGGAAACACTGAGAGATTAAGCATAGCACAGCACAGTGTGTTATTGTTCTTTTTGAAAATCAAATGTGACAAAAGAGATTCTCTTAAATAGAAGTGTGATGTGCTTTTTCCTTAGTTCCATAATAACATGAAGTAAATCTTAAAGATTCCTTTAGTTTTTTTTTTTTTTAATGTTATTTAGCTTAGGTGAACAAAAGACTAACAACAGTTACATAGCACGAAGTTTCTATCGGCTCATCAAAATTCAAAAGATTCTTTTTCCTTCGGTTAATTTTAAAGTAGATCTTTTAGTTCTTTGCAGTTTAATGTTCTCCACAATGGGCAGGTTGGGGCAAGAACAGAAGGGTTCTTTCCCAATTCTGTTTTGCTCTGTGCCTGCTTTTTTACTTTCATCTTATAGATTAGTCATGTTTTATCCTTAAGTTATGGCAGACTTACCTGCAAAGTTGCAGAGTTAGTTAGATTCTGTATTAAACATGACTTTATTAGCACTCTTATCTTGATATATCTAAAAGAATAACAGGAGAATCTGTCTACTTTGTTCACGGAAATGAAATTAACAAAGGAAAGCTGAGCAAAAGCATGACTTAAAGAGTCTAACTTGCATTAAAAAAAGTATCTCTGGACTGGATTAAAGACTCCAGTATCCTGTATCCTAATTGTGAGCCTGGCTCTGTAGTCAGGATGCCTCTGTTTGAATCCCACTTGTTACACTCTCTTGTGCCATTTTCTCTGTTAAACGGGGATACTAATAATCCTTTCTTACTGTATTGTGAAGTCTAATTTGATAAAGCATGTTAAGTGCTAGCAAAGTGCTTGGAATCTATTTAATAGTAAACTCAATATTAGCTACTCCCTTTAAAGAAAATTATTTTGTTACTAGGAAGTAGTCTATAGATTATTTTCTAATTACTACCATGAATCTTATCATCTCTTTACTGAAAATCTTTAAGAATTCATTACAATGGATCCATTTGTTTTCTTCTTGCCTACTTAATGATTGCTGCCTCTCTCATGCCTTGCCAAAGGTGAAACAGTTTGAATATGTCCATTTTTCTTCAAAAGAGCTTACACTTTGGAATTCAGTTCACCTGGTTGGTTTGCCAACTCTGCTCATTTTTTAAAGATGATTTCAAAAATGTTATGCCTTTTTTGCATTTTTAGAGTGGGAGTTAATGTTCTCTTGTGGTATTCTATCTATATCCTAAGCTGACTTGTCCTTATTCCTGAAATCGTTTAATGTGGAATTAATGATTATCTTTCAGAGATTTAAATTTTGACTTGGTGGTACTATTGACTTTCATTACTCACATCTAGTTCTGTTCTAATTCTTTTGATTTTTCATTATTTGGATCTCAAGTTGTCTCCTAGTTCTTATGCACATATCTGAGTAAAGATACATATTTAAGTTAACACAGCCTGTGTGATGAATCATTAGGTCTAGTTGAAAATTTTTTATTCAATTTCAGAGTCAGGTTTTGACAAACTGTTTGTTCTCTTGTTCAATTGATACCAATCTTTTCCTTCCTATCTCCCCACTCTCCTTTTGGAAAATATTTGGGATAGGATGTTTCAGATTCCAAAATGATCTTAACCTCTAAATTTTCTACTTAAAGTGTGTTTAGTCTGAAAAACTATTATCAGCCATAAAGTACTCAGGAAGTAGTACTCCAAGTCAGTAACATAAATAGTACTCAGTCCTGACCAACTCTTTGCCACCCATGGACTGCAGCACACTAGGTTTCCCTGTCCTTCACCATCTCCCAGAGCTTGCTCAAACTCATGTCCTTAGAGTCAGTGATGCCATCCAACCATTTCATCCTCTGTCATCCCCTTCTCCTCTTGCCTTCAATCTTTCCCAGCATCAGGGTCTTTTCCAGTGAGTT